TCGTATATCTGTCAAATCCGAGGTGTCAATTCAAAGGTGTGTGTTGCCAAATGATAACTTTCTGCAATTCAAAAACCATCAACTACTATATGCAATCCACAATTTTCGCTTCATTCTTTGTGCAAATATCATGGAGGCGTGACTGTTCGGACGTCTTCTCTATATAGAGCATCTCGCAGGAGACATTAAAAGTAAACATGAACGCAGGAACAACGGTCGTTTTTGGGCGAAATACGAGACCTAAAAATACAGGACGAACTGAAGGGGCGTACAACGGTAGAAACGAAGGGTTTGCGCGGTTTAGAGTTCAAAACGAGAAAAAATAAAATAAAGAAAACCGAAGTCGGCTTTTCAAAGACACGAACAAGCAGCGTGGAGTTCTTTGTGGCTCATGTTCTTTGAGAGCGGGGCGGAACATGGCCCCGCGCCGAAGCTCAGCTGTTGTGTGGTGCACAGCCGCTGTTTTTGATAGAAAACAGTGGAAGATCGATTCCGCTTTGTGTTGGGACCCGTATATATATAAAAATAGAAAGAAAGGGGGAAGGCAACACGGGACTCGAGTTACCAGTCCCCAGAATCCAGTTCGTTGGTGTTCTGAGCTTTATTTTTGTGTCTGCTCTTTTTGAACTCCTGCACAAAACACGCTTTTCCGTGTTGATGGTCGGCCGACGATATTAGATAAACGTCTTGCTGTCCCCCTCTCTTTGAGAATTATATTTCTGCAGTGAGAAGGTTTTGAAACCAAATCTAAGGAATCGCATCAGGCCTCGGCACAAGCTCCCGTTCACGGACAAATATCTCCACTGGTGAGAGTCTCAACTTCCCCTTGTTCGTCCACGAGATTCGTGAAATGATATTGCGACTTAAAGAGTTCCGTTTCAGAACTGTGTAGCCTTGTCACAAATGAAGTGCACTCTACGGAAATTAAATAACAGCTGAGCTGCAAATTGATTCCGAAGTGACGCTTTAACGTCGAAAAGCACTTGCAAGTATTCTGTACTCTTAGGAAACAAAATATTTTACAGCTACTTCAGGATGAGTGTATGAAAGGTCACTGCAGCTACAAAACTTCTTTTGAGACTGCTAAAACAAATTTGGACATCCAACTGCTTTAACGTTTTAAGCAGGAAAACTAAGCTTGCGTCAAAAATTATGAAGAAATCGCAACTCATTGTAAAGTAAAATAAGGTGGCATCTGTACCACCACGAAAAAGTCCCCACCAACAAAAAAGGGTGTCTAGTTCAAAACAAAACACAGTAAAAACTAATTGTTTTGAAGATTGAAGAACTCCGTCACATGAAGGCCAATTCTGACGAAAGTATATCATTTTGGTTGAGACACGAGATAATTAAAACTCTGTGGTCCCAGCGCAGATTGCGTTGATTATCTGAAACGTTAGCTACAGTATTTGAAACATTAAGAAGCGCGGGAACGGGATCATTGCGTTCGCTCTTCTTGCTCCGTGATTCGGTCCTCGGTGCTATTATCGCCTGACGTGGCAGTCTTATCGGCTGCGAGTTATACTAAAAATGCCCGTACCGGGCATTTTATTAACGCTCTGACTTTTTAACCGTTCCAGGCTATGTGTCACCACGCCTTATGATTCTGAGCCTGCCAGAGACTGTAGACTAGATAAGTGTATAGTATCGATTCTATCCATACACTCTAAAAAAAAATCTGGTCGTATAAGAACACTTAGAGGTTCTTAGGCTTGTATATGTTTTGCACCCCGAAAAGTTACTTTAAGCTCCCCCAAAGAGGGTTCTTCGTGGAAAAACTATAAGGTGTTCTTTTAAGCTCCTTTTTTGATGCGAAAGAGTTCTTCATAGGCCGGTTGCCTTTCTAGTGCTCCAGAGGGCGATAGTGCTTGGGACAATACAGTTCTTCACGAGTTGAGAGTGTTCTTGGGGCACCGAAGAACCGAAATACTCCCCTAGGGACACACAGGACACTCTCCTCATTAGCATTAGAGAGAACGACGGCCGCGCCATCAACCACCCCTGGTGGAGTGATTTATTTAGCGACGCCTCTCTCCCCGACCCTCCCCTCGCCGCGACATTACATGAAGGCGGCGCCTCGGAGTGCGGTGGGGTTGACGGCGTCGCGGATAGTAGTGATAGTAATAATAAGTTAATTTCCAACAAAAAGTACAATGTTGGTGATGGCTTAGGAAAAAAGGTGCTGAAACATCTTGACTTGTCCCAAGCATACCTCGGCAATCTTCGCTCACGGGGCCCTCACTCAACAGTCATCTTCGCAGGTGAAGTAAGGGTGAGTAAGCTTCTGAACCAAGCACATTCATGAGTGTGAGGTAGAGTGAGGAACGTGAGGTCGTAAGGGGTATGAGGACCGTAAGGGCTGTGAGGGCTGTGAGGACCGTGAATGCATCAGGGCCGTGAGGCGGTGAGTGCATGAGGGGCGTGAGGACTGTGAGGTTCAGTGAGGGTGAGCGAAGGGCTGAAGGGGAGTGTGACTGTGAAGATTAGTGTGAGAGAGGGGCTGAGGGTGAGTGTAGCTATGAGGGTGAGGGTGAATGAGGGCGACCTGAAATACCGACCTCTGGTCCCAAGTCCCGATAACATCAGCAACAACAAGCGGAGTGCATGGGACATAGAAATACATTGAGAACGCTAAACAGAAATAAAGAGACTTATACAGTCGACAAGGGGATATGTATACAAAGCACTGGCTAAATAATAAAGATCATAATTGAGTTTGCGACAAAAAAGAGCACTGCCCTATAGTCAATAAAAGAAAAACCAAAAGGAAATAATGTACAGTATACAAAACACTCGCATATACGCATACATATTTAAAAAGGAAAAAAAATACCGACGAAAGGCACCGTTCAATCGTGGCCGATCTGCTCAAAAATTATCATATCCCGCAAATTTCTCACCGTTAGCGTGTCTAGTTCTACGTTTTGCATATGAAGGTGGTAGGGTGTGCGCCGTAGTTTGATGACCGTAATTTCTTCGAAAACGAGGCACTACCCTGGGTTGCAGAATGCGCGCTTGGTACGAATGTATACTTTTTCTGTCAGATTCGCTAAATCTTTAGGACGATGTACCACATGCGAAGACGGTATCGCTGCCGCCTTCACGCGTGTTTCCGCAGATCTTCGCTGTCGACTTTATTTTTTTTTTTTTTAGTATTCTTGGGGAGCGTTTTGTAAGACCGGATTTTTTTTTTATAGTGTAGGGATAGAGAATGCGTTTGGGGCAACAAGCGTTCAGTAGAACGAAATGTACTCGCTGACCGCTTGACAAATGCCATGCGTAACGAGTCTGGTGCATGTTGTTATTACTCCGCAGTCATTGATCGATTTATTAGGCTATGAATTGGTTAGTCAACAGATTGAATAGGTCATGAAAATTCCGAAAATAGTATCACAAAGCAACGAACGCGTGTATAACAAGCCATGCCCTGTGTGAGTAGCCAGCAACGCGAACTACAGACATCCTTTCACCTTGCGATGGACCGCAGTGGACGCTACCGGCCATCGAAGCCCATCCAGTGTCCCGTGAGCGTCACGTGACCTTCAGGGAGGGGGGGGGGGGGGGGCGCAGCGACGTGCGAGACGCGTATTCACGTGATGCATTGACATCGCTGGATTGGCTGAGACGGCTCGTATCATCCGCTGTGGTTCATCGTAGGGTGCAACAGAGATGTTGTCAGTTAGGTTTCAGAGAGGAATCAGTCCTCTTTTGCCAATATGAAAGTTCACACTTTCAATGGATGCTCTGGTGAAAATGTGCGACTTTAAAACGCAATCTCCGCTTGGTCAGTGAGGAAGCGAAAAGTCGTACAAGTGGGTCCTTTTCTGGGATTAAATAATGAATGGTTCGAGCTGAAACCTGTTTGGGGGTCCACTATTCGATAGTTAAAACTGCACAAAAAAAAATCGCAAAAAAGGAAAAAAAAAGACAGGACAGGGGACGACAAGGGGCGCATAAAACGATGTGCTCGATTCGTCTACAGTCTTGCTTGTTTCTTCCTTCTACGCATCCAGACAGTCACCAAGGAGTTTTTCAATTCCTTTTATTATTCTCGGTGCGCGCTTCGAGGATCGCAGTGGTTTTGCCACCGCACGCTATGCTGTAGAGAAGACGCGAAGTCACGTTTTTAGAGAACATCACAGCATGTGTAAGCGATTCTTAGTGTTAACCTGAACCACAACTTTCGCTTGTCCTTTCAACTCAATTCGTAATATGACTGAATATATTTACAAATAAATTTGACGCGGGGAAAACACCTAGCCGCAAACCACGCTTCACACAGGGTCACTTTTTTTCTCTTTTCTTTAACTACTACAGTCGAATATAAGTTAAGGCTGCTCCTAATGAACAGCACAACATAGCAGGGCACCGCCTCGAATCGCTCCGCGAATCCACCAGGAACCGCTTTAACCGTGACGGGTCATGTGACATCAGGGCGACGTGCACCTTTTAACGAACCATTTGCGCGTCGCGGAAGAACAGTGGCTCTCGGTAATGAAACTGCCAAGGGGCTTCTGTCTCATGCTTCACTGGCATCTGATCTGACTATAGTTCAATTGTTCAATGGTCTAAGAGCCTCACATACCACAATGCATAGACGACAATTGATTAGACAGGGCTGGCCTAGGAAGTGTGTGTCAATCACTGCTCTGCGAAACGTTCCACATGAATATACACCCTAAAAAAAGTCTGGTTTCACCTTACTGCAGGCCACAGATACATCAAATCATGGCAAGTGAGACGTCGTGCTCATAGTCCGTCCTTACATCGCATTTTTCAGGTCTAATAGTATTCTGAGCATCGTCATAGGTTGGGGCCCTCCTATTGTCCGCCGTGATTTGCTCTCTCCTTGTTCTGCAAGAAACAGCAGTCACAGGTTTTGAGTTCTCGGGGGGGGGGGGGGGGGGGGGTAGGGTAGGGGAGGAAAGGGGGCGATGAGGGGGAGTACCGTGGTTCAAAGAGCGACACCGAGACGGTGTGGTGTTATGCGGCCCCCGCAGGCAGTCCCCCGCCAGTGGTCACATGGTGGAGGGAGTCCTTCCTGCTGGACGACCAGTACAACGTGACCACTCAGGGGATTTCGAGGAACGAGCTGGAGATCCCGTCGCTGGGCCGAAACGACCTCATGGCCACCTTCACCTGCCTCGCCACCAACAACAACATCTCTTTCCCGGTGTCCGCCAGCGTCACCGTAGACCTCAACTGTGAGTATTCTCCCTGGCGCAAGTCGTACTCTAATCCTTATCGTCGAGCATTTGTTTCAAGGAAGGTTTCTTTGTTTGATCATCATGGGTGAGTAGTTTAAAAAAAAAACGCATTGTTTTATATTTTTTAGAAGTTCTGTCACTCTACATGAGTCACTCACTTAATTATAATTTTAAACGCAAGCCTAAGTGAAACAAACATATTCGATATTTTATTTTCAGTTATAACAATAACGAGGGAATAAGAAGCTAATTTAAATACTGTAAACGACTTATTTTTAGCGGGCTCAAAATTTTGAGATTTAGGTCAAAGCTGAAATTTTGGAATAATTCGAGGGTCCTAGTTTTCCCGACGCTGTGGGATCTCACTATAAATTCCAATCTGTTTACATTTACCTAAATTGTTCGCGGGGTCTATTTTTCGCGAATCGTAGGCGATTCGCGCAATTCGGAAAAAATTAGGTTTCCGCGAAAATTAAGTCATTAAACTAATTTAAGAAAACGTAGAGAAGCATCATATTAGCGGCCGACGTTTCGCAAAAGCCTTTTAATCTTTTCTTTCAGTCTGAGGCTTCTATGCGATTTATATTCGCTGTCTAATATTTTAACTGGTTGCACAAGTCAGTTGCGATTTACTCAGAAAATGCCAGATGTAACGCTCTTTGAGTTCAGTCTACATTCAGCGCCTAGCTACTGATTAGTCATTATCTTTTTGTGGCTCAGCTGTTGCCTTAGAGGCTACAAGATAATGATGAAATCGGCACAACTGGTCATGATGAGCGGTACTTCAGGTACCGATGAGTGCATTACGATTGACTCGCGTGCCTAATCCACTGAACTGGTCGTCTCTGCTTTCTAGGCCCCCGACATGCTGGTTTTTAGACGGAATCGCTACGTTAGGGAGTTGTGTGTCTTCCTTTCGGAAGTAATCATTTCAGTTTATCTCCGGCTGATCGGTATAGTTCTTCTTTTGATCAAGACCTAAACTTGCAGGTCGTTATATCGTCGAAAGAAGATATAATGAAGCTTTAGTTTGATACAGAAACACCATGTGGCACTGTAAAATTGACCAAGGTCGAAAATAATTTATTCATTGTTAAGCTAGCCTAATCCACATGCTCCACCGACACTCAAGTAGGAGTCGTTAATATCGAGGCAACAACACATATCCTGTCAGAGGGGCAATAATCGTCTTTCGACGAGAACGTGAATTTCTCGCCCAATAGCCGTTGTCACGTTCATGTTCATCCCTTCTACGATAGTCTCTGTGAGCGTGGTTTCGTGAAGTCATCTAAAGTAAACCGAGATAAGTTTTAGCCTAACCGAGTAACACACACACAAAAATACTAGCTTTTCTCAGCCATAACGATGCCCAACTCCCTCTGAAATTTATCTTGCATACTCCAGCTAAGTGACGTCGGATACCGCCTCCTTCTTCAGGGCATTGCTCTTTTTCTATCTATTTCTTCACAGTCTTTTGCTCTGGCCTGTCCAATGGCGACACGCCTTTTCCAGGTTCTGAAACTCTTCTGTAGTCTCGCTACGCTTGGAGAGTCTTGGCTTTTCCACAGGCTTCTCGATATTGGGTCGTGAGCAAGTAGATTTTAACTCTTTCTTCCCTCATCTCGAAAACCCATACTTAAACAAATCTGAAAAAAAGAAAAAAAAAAAAAACACTTGACAATGACTGTATTTTTTTCCCCTAATACCGCAGTGAGAAGCACGTCCGGACAAGAAAGCCGCTATAATTCGGGGTATGGCACTCCTTAGCCATGAAAAATAAATCAAAGTGGTGATCCTCGATTATTTGCTTTAATTATCTGGACATTAAGTTCGGAGATAGGACGCGTTTCAAATTTGGTGCTGCTTTTTTTTTTTTTTTTTTTTCGGAATTAGGGATTGTTTTTTTCTTTTCTTTTTCTTTTTTCGTTCAGTCGTATTCGGGGGGGGGGGGGGGGGGGGGGGGGGGCGGAGCGTTGCTACATTTTTTTTGTTTTTCGTGCCCTCTTATTCTTTATTCCCTTCCTAAGTACTGCGCACAAATTCCTCACTTTCCCAAATTTCTTTTAACTTGTATTTTTTTGTCGTTTTATTTTAATGACAGTGTTTTGAAACGAGGGCCTCCTCGGTTTCCCCCGACAGAAAGCCAGCGGTGGCAGCAGCTATCAGCGTTGAAATGGGAGACCAAAGTGCGTTGGAGATTTTAGTTTACTTTTTTTTTGTACCTTGCGTTTTTCTTTTTGACTCGCATGTTCTTAAGCGGCAAACAATGTTCCTTCACTCTCGGCGGCATTTTACAACTGATCGCAATTTGCATCGCTAATGGCGCACACCCGATCTTGGTTCCCAATTCCTATACGCATGCTTTTTTTTCCCTCTCTTTTTTTTTCGGAAAGGAAAAAGGATTAAGAAATACGTTCCGAGCGGGGAACTTTCAAGCTGCCATTCCCACTTCTAACCTCGTCTTTCTATTTATTTCATGTTTATTTTTTACCAGTTAGATGCACCTCCCCGATACCGTTCCCTTGTCTCCCCCCCTCTTCCACCCTCCCCCCAACACACACACACACTGTTTTAGCCTAACGGATGCGTTGTGTCACAATAAACAAACAAAACAGGAACACCTCATCTCAAGCGTCTAAATAAATACGGCCCACTGATAGAGTTTTATGCGGGTACCCAAAACAGAACCAAACTAAAACGGGAAGAGAAAAAGAAAAAAAAGGAGTAATTACGTGCAACAAAACAAACAAAACTTCAGCAGTGATTTTTTCTTTTTGGCCGTTTATGTAACAGTTTAGTTTCTATTAAGCTGATATTGAAATCCGTGGAAGAATCATGGCCGTGTGTAGCTCGTTAAGATTCCTATTTAAACCGTTATTAAGCCATTCATCTGAAACAAATTAAACATAAATACGCTTCTTCACATCTTTTTTCTGTAGTAAGCTTTACTTGTTTAGCAAATTCATGTAAAATAAGGAACATTCCTCAATCGCCAATGTGATTGCGTAACCGGCGTTTAAAATTTTTAAATCAAGTACCGCTCAGCATTTTCTACTCTCCGAATCCCGGCTGAATTGCAAAACAAAAATAGGCCTAATGGCAATATTAGTACACGACTTATAAGACCTATCTCTGTCTTTTATGAGAATCTCCAGTAGCACCAATACATATCTGTTATGTACCGGCGTCTCTACAGAAACCAGCTTGGCGCTGACGCCGATCCTCATTTAAGCGCAGTTGAATACTGAACCAACGTTTCTCTACTTTGTTAAAAAATAAATACGCAACAGCAAAGGTCTGAGACTCGAGAAGCCTTTACCACGCCCGTTACGAGAGACGCGCCATAAAAATGTGTCCTCAAGAACCGCATCGAAATGTCACGGAATGCATTAGGCACGTTTTCGATACCATCGGACTGAATCTATCAAGCTTTTTCCGTCGGGTGGCCGTCACTCTAGCCATCTGGCAACTATTGCGCGTCAGCCGAGTAGCCTGATTGAGTGAGCAGAGAGGCTGGCGTGACCGACGGCACGTCGCCGCTGAGCGCGGAGAAAACAATGGAACCGCTGGGATTAACCGCAAATCGACCAACACCCTGTTTTTTTTTTTTTTTTTTTTTTTTTTTATTTTATTGTGGGCGCGTAGGCCAAAGGCTTAAACGAATAGCTTTGCTTATCGGCTTTTAGGAACGAACGGATTTGCGGTCGAGCCGCCATCGTAATTAAGGCATTTTGGCGTCTGGCTGTGCCAACAACCTCGGCGCTTATCGTGGTTTGTTTGGTGTACAAATAAAGCGGAATGCACGGAGTGAAATAGGCCGAAAATCAATCTGGAATCCGGAAAAAATCGGCAGTCTTATAGACCGTTTTCGTGTGACAGTACCCACGTTAAAATACGACATTGTTAGGTTGAGTGACAGAAAGCGAACTAAATTGTGTAAGCATCAGTACAGTTATATATATATATATATATATATATATATATATAAAAGTAGAAGCCACCGAGGGTCAAACAAACTTGGAAGGTTTAATTCAACATGTGTAAGTCATACAGAAACCGCGACGTTTCGAAAAGGGACCCTTCTGTGTGTATATATATATATATATACATACTGTATACACACAACCGGACAAAATATTACTAGTGGCACAATCCCTCCGGATTCTAACGCCTTCATATCGGCAAATAAAGTGATTTCGTATTTTCCTCGACCTAACCATGTTAAACATAGAGGGCTAAAACAAAATATAACGTAAATCGAAATATAAATGCATAGTGACATGTTTATAAACGTAAACAACAAATCTATATACCTTGTTTTATATTAAGTTCGGCCACAGCCGGGGCCACGATTCGATGAAGCCAATCAAGAAGCACAAAAAGTGCATTGTCACGGGGCTTGGGGCTTGTTTCCTTTGTGGGCTGGATGTTACCGGCTAAACCAGCCACGCAGTGGCGTGCCAATTTGTTTTTGAGTGGGGGAGCAAACCAGACCCTACCCCCCCCCCCCCCCCCCCCCCACGGCCGGGGGGCGTTTCTTTGGTATCCCTTGGGCGCCGCCGGCCATTGTTTGCCCTGCCCAATGGTGGCTGTTTCAGGGGTGTGGGACAAAACACATGCCCTGCCCCCCCCTTTCTGGGAACTGGGGGGGGGGGGGGGCAAGCACCCCCCTTGTCCACCGGTTGGTACTCCCATGCAGTCACGCACAAAGAAAAAAAAAGCGATGAAGGGCGGCCCACTTGCTGAGCACGATTGGTTCTGGTCGATGCAGAGAAACACAAAGACGATAAACGCATGAACGCCATGACCGTTTAGCACAGCATGATTGGTTCCATTGGATCGTTTGGATTGCAGCTTTGGCTATGGGCATAAAAAACAAAGCTTTACCTCTTTTTTTTTTCTTTAACAGAGCGCGTTTTTCGGATATGTAGCCACATGCCTGCGCAGTGTCGGCTATTTTGCCTTCCAAGTGGAACACATTTCCTATTGTACCGTCT